GCACGTATTCCAGGTTTTTATCGAACACTTTTTTCAGCATGTAGCAAAGGTAGAAATAGAGTCCTAGGTCTGTATTTGGAAAAACTTAAAATAACGGCCAGGAGTCTACTTCTCTCATTTTAACTCAGTAGACCTCACAAAATGTTGAACAGTCTATCAGAAGACGATTCTCTTACTTCTACTGATCTTATCTTGTTTAGGACTCAAATAGCAGGACCATTCTGAGTAAAAAGCTAGTTTGTCTCATAACACATGAAAAAACAACATAAATTTAGCGATAATACTTTTTTCTTTGTTCCACTAAATCTGGCTCATTCATACGTATGTATAGTACAGGAAGCGTCTCCCTATCTACCCGAAAAAAATTTTTGATTAAGTTTTTTGTATAATTTTATTCAATAGGAGTATTTAACTAATGAGAGTATTAGCAGGTCCAAGATTCCACTAAGAATTGTTTAAATATTTGGGAAATTCTCAACAAATTTATAAATTTCATTATGCGTTTTCAAAAAAAAAATTGTGAAAATGTATCCTTTTTTTGCAGAAATATAATGTTTTACTTTAGTGAGGTAAATTGAAAATGAAGGTGCTCCATATTTTTGTGCATAACATGTAGAAAAATGACTTTTAAAAAACTATGAAATGAGGGAATGACTGACAGGATGGGGGAATGATTTTTACAACAATTTGATGCTGAATTGCAATAAAAAACATAAATTAGTTTATTAATAGATGTATTGAGATTCGTTTTATACTTTAAAAGGCACAATCTCGTATTTTCATCATTCTCTAAAAAATGAACAACATCACCCCTAACTTTCAGCATTTTGGAGCTAACTTTACGAGTACAGTTTTTTTTTGTTCGTATCGTTTTTGAAAAAATGTTTCCATCTATATAGCACTTTGTATCTTTTGTACTTATTGCAGCTTTAACATGTATATTTTTTTTTTCTCCGTGTTTACTTCCAAGATCTTCATAGATATTCTTGAGGTCCGTTGGCAGTGCTTCTCCGAAAATGAGCCTTTTTCTTACGTCAGGAACTTGTATATTCTTTAAAAGTGAAGACACTTTAGTTGCTGAAGAGTTTGAGTCAGGTTTTTTAGTTTCAATCTCAAACACCTCTTCTTATATGTTTTGCTAAACTTGACTGCGCTCCTTACTCTATTTTCCAAACTTTTAATTATTGAAATCCAATGTTTTTTCGAGCAGCTCTTTCCACTATTAAGAAATTCCACCATGTTGACATTATTAGCAGTACTGCCAAGTTTTAAGAACATAACAGCTGCGTTCAAAAATATCAAATGGTGTGACCACAAATCGAATATTTATGACGGGTGAGGGAATGATTCCATTTCAAGGGTCATAGTTTGAATAGATCTTTTTATATACATATTTATTTTTTAGCAATGAAAACTTGACCATACAATCCATACTCATTATCAAATATTTTAGCAATATTCAATTTATAAGAATATTAACAGATTTGATTGTATATATTTTTTTATTAGTAATGTCAGACCCAGGGACGAGATGAGAGAATGACTTTTAGACTAATAAATTAATCGTATTTTTTGTATCAATATATTATCTAAATATATTTTGGAGTCAGAAAAAAATCTTTTAACGATTTATGATAAAGTTTTGGGCCTGGCAACGTGGAGATTCTATGAAGGTAGGCCTTCTGAATAAGATTATGGAAAACGCCGACTCAGTATACTTTTCCGAGCATAAGCGCAATTTTTTCCTGGGCTAGCTAAAAATGTAACTTAACGAATTGGAAATAATCAAACTCTTATTTTTTGTCTGCGTATTGAGTTCATACCTATGTATCGCTAAACTGGATGATCCGTCAGTCAGGGATTCAGTTTATGCAAAACTTCATCCAGCAGCAGACAAGCGACTAGCGGCAAACTCTCATATATCAAAGTCCAATCAAGTTCGCCAGACAATAGTGTCCGTTGGTAGGCCGATAGCCCTCCATTACATTAATGCATAACATCCGACTATGCCTTCGTTTCCTTCATGATTGATATGTCATTAGATTGCCTGACAGGGATATGCCTAATCAGCTTTCTGTTGTTCAATATATGGCCAGTCGCTTCAAAAGTTTATGAAGCTCCATAATTCTGCTGTTAAATCCCAATCTGTCGTCCAAGTTCTTCATTCTTAATATTGAGTGGTGATGATGGATACAGCATTTTTTTAAAATACTTATTACTAATCTGACGTGTATAATGAGTTCGACTAATTAAAAAGGTTTGTTAGCTGAGTTGGTTTACCATTCTTCACTTGATCATATTTATCATCGTTAGCTAACCATTCGCTTTATTACTTAATTATATTTTGTTAGTCAGTATATCGTCTGTGGCAATGCTACGAGCCCCTTCCCACTTCAGTTGGCCCAACTATTGAAATCTTAGTTTTTTTCTTATCAAACACAAATAATAAAAATGTAGCAGGGTGTGATAGGTTTAAAATATTAACATTGAATATTTTGATAATATATAGTAGAAAACACCAATTTTATCACTCCCTAATCAAATCTGCAGCATAAAAATAACACATGTTGCAATTACAGCATATCAACCTATTTTCATTTCAATGCAAGACACGTCTATAACGCATAGGTGGCTGTGAAAAATAAAAGCCGTGACAATTGTTTTTATTAATCTCAGCTGTCAGAATACGTTTAAAATAGTTTTGGGTAGGTTTTCAAAATGCGTAGGGTAGGCATGCCAATTATTTACAATTAAGTGCTCTGTGGAGTTACGCTGTTAGAAGGAGAATTTTGAGGTCCACAACTCATAGAGAGGCCCACAAACTGGGATTGAACACTTGCAAGGTAAGTTTTCTTAAAAAGTGAAGTAAAAACCCTAAAGTTGCACAACTTGTTTATAGGCCAAAGAAAAGCCAGCAAATTTTTGCCAAAACTTGGTTAACACTATGCCCCAAAGAATTTCAGCCGTAATAAAAAATAAAGGTGATGTTACCCAATGGTAATCTTTCAATTGTTGCTTTGTTAACTTCGCGCATTTATTCGCACATTGTTTATTTGTTCAGACGTTCTATTAGTTATAGGTCTAAGATATTTCAAATATGTATTTTTTACGACTGGAGTGTATCTAAAATGTTTTTGAGAAAATAAATTGTTTTAGAAGTAAATAGTTTCGTCATGTTTAGTTTATAAAGGCATATTTTGGTACAAATCTTGAAGTGGGAAGGGGGCTCGTATAATGGGTAGCATTTTGAGCCTACCGGGCCACATAACTAATTAACCGTGTCCACCTGAATCAATCAGTTGGATGACCAAAGGCCGTGCTGAAGGAAGGCGTATTGAATTCTGACTAGCTGCAGAATTAAGTTGGTTCATCACATTGATTGACAGTAACAATAATTACCTAATCGCTCAATCAATACAATAACTAAAGTGTTACAGTGAGGGCTATTGAATTTTAATCAGCTAATCAAGCTCATCCAATTGGTTAGATCAAGTATGATGATGGGATGTTTGTTTCCCTTGGATCGTGTTTTGCGTCTCTCATCCAGTAGCCATGGTGGTGTAAAATAAACTCCAAAACACGAAATTAGCTAATCAAGCTCGATTAACCAACCAAATAGGTAATAGCTATTCATCTAGCCATCTACCCAGGCAGCGTGGGCTAATGAAGACCATTCAATTGGATTAGCTGGCCAAGCAATCAGCTGAATCAATTAGTTAGTAGTTTTTCGCGCAGTCATCTAATTAGTCAACTAACTTATACATATATGAACTATCACGGCAGGCCTAGTAATCCCATGACTTGATTGGTAATCCCTTGCCATTCCGTCACGTGTATAAATTACATAGCCTTTTTTCTACCGTTTTGATCACATACTTGTAATTAGAATTTCTCTTTATTAATGGCAGAGTGCCCATTCCTAGGGCAAACCCTCTTCAATGATTTTCTTTTGGTAAATTCCATCGTTTATTGATTGTATAATTTCACACACATTATATCTTTCTCAGTGATTCAGTATTGTGTTGAAAAAAAACCCTGTGGTTTTTCTCCGTTATCTGCTTTCCTATCGAACATATCTTCTTCAAGACCACTCACTGAACATTCCTTTATAAACCTAGGTGTTTGGAGTCATTTTTCCAATGAGAGCGCCATTTGTTTAACATCCAGATTCTGGGATATCAGGTGCCGAACACGAGTTCATGTAGTTATTAGTTAGTTATTCTGGTTTGGGTGCTACCCTGTCCATTTTCTAATAGGATTTTAATCTTCAGCGTGGGAAGGCATTGCGGAGAACCACCACACACTCCTCCAGCTTGTTTGTAGCTGTTTTGCAGAGAGCCACCCCTTCCCCTTGACAATTTCTCTCCAGCCATTTCTTTTCTTTTTCAGTCATTTGTATTTAATTTTCTCAGGTCCTCTTTCACCTCTATTTTCCACCTCGTCTTGGGCCTGCCTTTCTTTTTCTTTCCGTCTACTGATTGGATAAGCAGTCCCTTTGGTACTTTATGTTGTACAATTCTTTGTACGTGTCTTAACCATCTCAACCTCTAAGCTTTTATGACCGCCGTTATGTTGAGCTCCTTGAACAGTTCGTTTACTCACCATTTGTCCACGTACCATCATCTAACATATTGCCACCAAAAATCTTCCTTAACACATTCCGTTCCCATATCTCCAGCTTTGCTTGCTCTACCCATGTTTCATACGCAGACGTGACTACTGCCGTATTAGCGTTTTTCAGTGCATATATGCCACGATATCTTGATGATTATTTTTGTATTTGCTCCTTGTTACCCGGCTTTCATGTGAATACTGTACCCAAGTATTACATCTGTACCTTTTCAATTTATAGATATCCCCTTGTGTTGAGCTAGCTATTAGCTAATATAATTACGTTCACAAGTCTCAGGCAATATGATAACAAACGCTGCTATATTTGAAAGAATTGAAGGTCAGTTAGCTAGCCAAGCAATCAGCTCAACTAGTTAATAGTCATTCACCTAGCTACCATAGCTGAGTATGTTCACCTGAATCAGTGCGATAACTACAAATTAATACGATTCCAACAAGTAGAACAACATACAAAATAACTAAAACTCGTCTTACCTGCAACAGTTAACGTAGCATTTCGACTCCTCGCCTTCCCCAAAGCGTTAGAAGCCTCGCACCAGTACTCCCCGGAGTCGTTCTCCTTCCTCCCATGAGCAACCCGGAGGAAGAACAACCCCCCGTTCGGAAGCAACACCCTGTGTTGATTCGCCTTGACCGGGGAACCCTCCTTGTACCATGTTATTGTGGGGGGTGGTTGACCTGCAGCCTCGCATTTCAGGGTAGCAGGGTCGTGTTTCGCTACCACTGTGTCCACGGGGTGTTCGGTGATGCGAGGCGGTTGGTGATGGTGGTTCTGATGGTGGCTTGAGGATGACGATGGGTTATGGTAGTGGTAGCCTGCAATGAAAGAGAGATATGACAAAAAATGTCAAAAATGTAAAAGAATTATAATATTTTCTCACAAGGCAACCTTGCCCTTGAGTAGTCAGTGTACTATTTTCCGCATTTGGGATCCATAAAATTACAATGATGGCCTCTCACGATCTTGGCACGGTACAGTTCCGCAGGGTTGTTAGATAAGCAAACCTGTATAATGTCAAAGAAAGTCAAAATTTAAACTTGCTGACTGCTATTGCTCGCTATGAGCACTGTGAGTGTCCCCAGAAGCGACATCTGTGGAGGAACGACTTAGCGACACGCCCAGTGAGAAGCATGCCTTGCTGGTTGCATAATGTCGAGATGACATGTCGTATATCTCTGAGAAGATGTGACAGAGAGAAGATGGATTGAGTAGCAAAGTAGCAAGATCGCATCTGGATGATTGTGTATTGGTCTGAATTTGTACAAAAACAGCAATGTTTGCTATGTGAGAAAAATCTTACTGAATATGCTGCCCATGAAGTATCTCCACTAGATGTACCAAGGTTATTTGTGTTTTCCTTTTTTAAGAGTAGTTATGTTCAAAGTTATAAATAAAAAAAATTATACACGTAATGTTGAGATTTCCATCCCTCAAGATCCTAAACATTTTTGGAGTTTCATGCATACAAAAAATCGAACTACGTTACTAGGATTCCTGGTAAAATTAAGTTGAATGACGTCTCACTGAATGATCGTTACTGTGCTGTAAATGCATTTGCAGTGTTTTTTAATAGTGTTCTTGTTTATCCATCTACTCGTAATGATTTTATTGAAGGCATGAATCCTACTATACTACAACTATTTAAAAAATACGCGTGATCAACACGTGATCAGAGCTCGAACCCGGCTTCCAGTACAGCCGCATAGCGTACGACATATGTCGTTTCTGTGGCTTTGCGGTGGTCAACAGCACAGACAGAGATGGAAATAATGGCTGATTGTTCTCCGCCGGTAGAACCAATGAAATCAAAGACGCGCCACGACCGGCAGACTCATAGGCGTCGGCAACGCATTGGAACATGTTTCGTTGAGCGATCGCATATTGTATGTTTTTATAAGAATTGTTGTGTGATTGTTATTGTTGTGGTTTCTGTGGTTACTGTTTTGGCTATACTTAACCATGGAGAGTACAAATGGCACGAGTGGAAGTACTGAAAGCCAGGGAACAAGTAAACGGCTTCGTAAAGCACTGAGGAGGGACGCGAAAGAAATCGTGCTCAACGTGTTCAATTATCTGAACAGAACTATGTCGCAGGGAGACGCACTCGCGCGTTGTGAAAGTACGACAGGCGTTCCAGAGTGGACCATTCGCAGGGTGGTGCATGAAAAGAAGAAAACTGGAGCTACTACTGATCCAAAGTTTAATTTGAAGGGACGAAAGGCCGTTAAATTGGATGACGATAGCAAAATGGCGTTAAGGCGAACCGTACATTCATGCTGCTTTAGGAATGAGATACCAACCCTCAAGGCTGTACATGCAGCGATCAAGGAAAATGAAATTATACCCCAAATGAGCGTCGAGGTAATGAGGAAATCCCTGCACGAAATTTATTTTCGTTACGAAACGCGTAATCGGAAGTCAGTATTGATAGAGAGACCTGAAATAGTCGCCTGGCGTCGAAAATACCTACGCGAAATGATTGAATATAGGCGACAAAGCAGAAAAATCTATTATTTGGACGAGACATGGGTAAATGCAGGTCACACAGTTAAAAAAACCTGGATAGACAAAAACGTAGTGAGTAACCGACAAGCAAGCATTGAAGGTTTGTCAACAGGTCTTCGTGGATCGTCAGGGAAAGGTCAAAGATTGATCGTAACTCATATTGGTAGCGATAGTGGCTTTTTAGAAGAGTGTGACTTGATTTTCGTTCCTAAGAAAGGAGGTGATTACCATGAGGAAATGAATGCCAGCTGCTTCGAGAGCTGGTTTCAAGGGGTGCTTCAGCGAGTTGAGCCCAACTCTGTGATCGTCATGGATAATGCTTCCTACCATAGTCATCGAGCCGAACGTGTACCGACAAGGGATCTCGAAAAAGTGACATGCAGCAATGGTTGCGCGAAAAAGGAATCCCGTTTGACGTTTCATGGGTGAAAGCGGAATTGTATGAAAAAATTAAACAGCACAAACCTGCGAACATTAGTTACGTGACTGATGAGATGGCCCGTCAATGTGGTGTCACTGTGCTGCGGTTACCGCCTTACCACTGTGAACTGAACCCAATAGCGCTCATCTGGGCTCAAGTGAAGGGTTATATTGCGCGCCATAACATAACCTTCAAATTACCAGACGTTAAGGTTTTACTTGAGACTTCCATACAGCTAGTAACGCCCGAACGTTGGCAGAATGTTGTGAAGGAAGAAACAAAAATGTGGCAGCTTGACCACCACATCGACACCATCATAGAGCCAGTTATAGTCAATTTCAACGAGGAAAGCGATAGCGACAGTTTATTACTGTCAGATGTAAGTGGAAGCGACGATGAATAAAGGTAATTCCCAAATTTTTGACTTACAATATGTTTCAAACCACTCTTTATTAAGCATGTGACAGATCTAGTTCACCCATGTTAAACATTCATACCCCGCCTATGAACAGCCGACTACTGGTAGTTGAGTGATGTTCACGTGAACATCGATGAGTCATTACAGTTTTAAATAGTTATAGTATAGTCTGGTTAACATATTTTTCAATGACATTCATGAAAATGAGATTATTGCTGCATATAAAAAACTCAAGAATAAAGTAACGGCCGGCCCAGACAACGTCCCCTCGTTCATAGTCAAAGATTGTATTCATGTCTTTGTTAAGCCGATATTAAAAATATACAATCTGAGTATAGAAACCAACACATTCCCTGATATTTGGAAACTTTCTAGAGTGACACCTATTTTCAAATCAGGGGATAATACTGATATTAAGAACTACACAGCGGTGGGAATATTGTCGAATTTCTCCAAATTGCTGGAGATAATATTGCATAATAGAATTTACTCCGCAGTTCATTCTTGGCAGTATACCAAGCGCGGTACTCTGATATTCAGTTTCTCCTACTGTCTCGCCTCCACTAAGCATATGGGGATACCACATCAATCGAAATACCCTAAACATTCGTACCTGAACTTTAGTTCACCTTGTTGCATTAACCCGTTGTGCATAATTAGCTAATGAAGGGCGTGCTCCTCATCCCCGAAAATCGCATAAAGCCGTACGCGGATAACATGTACACAAATGCATGCATATATGATGAAACAGCTGCAGCACCAATAGGAAAAGCATAAAATACAAAATATCCTTTTGCTGGATAACTAACTGAGGTTGGCGACAACATCCAGATAAACTAGCATGGCACATACGTAAATTATTTAGTTGATGTCGTTTGGCATTCGCCTCACGAACGTGGCAGACGAGATTCGTTTTGGAGGGAAATAAGATAGCGTACATGTTGGGGAATTGATGTGAGATCATGCGGATACAGAAAGTTATACAGAGTATTCCAATATTGACAAGATTGCTTCTATCTGCAGTCGGTATTGTGGAATGAAAAAAATCTTTAATTCTGATCTGATATTTCTTTTCATAGATATTACATATTATAAGATTTCTAATAAAGTGTTAAAATTAAACGCGCAAAGAGGATGCCTTTTGTGATCGCGATATTCTTACAGCTGTACTGATCTAAAGTTTGGGCACATAAATAAGAGTCATATTGTTGGAAATGGATTGTCTACAGAAAGAAGAAATCTTACAATGTAGTATCAAGACAAAACAAAAGCCTTTGATCACAAAGGTACAAGTGGGTCTGAAGTATCTTTGCTATATGCCAGTGATACTTCGATACACAGGGTGTTTCAGTTTATTGTTGCATAACTTTAAGATTCGATAGAATCTTTAGAATTAATGTATAAAGTCTATATAAACATGGGTCGAAAAATGCGTGGCTTCCGAAATAAAGGGTGTTTAATTTTACTTTTTAAAATAGTTTTTAAAATATTTCGAACAATATTTGATTTATAACAGTGAAAATTGGTATACAAGGGCATAGTTTTACTGTAGCCGCTAGAGGGCGCTCTCTACTGTACCTGTAATGTATTAAAGTGACCGAAAATTTTATTTTAGTGCAATTTTTTGCTTTTTGAATAAAGAAACTGATTCCTCACACCTTTCTGCATAAAAAAGCTCTCCTGTCAGTTTTCGTTATAGTAAGCCGTTTTTGAGATATTTCGATTTTTAAGGTTCGATGCATTTTTAATTATTTATGGGAAAATAATATTTTTTTACATGTTCGATTTGGGCATTACAGGTAATCAAGATGATCGTTTAGATTGTGTTTTTAAACACAGCAATAATTCCTAACTCCAAATGAACACAAAAAAGCAGAATATTAATTTGTTTAATTTTCCAATATTATTTTTAACAAATTAAATTAATTATTTACAACTAAAATGCTATTGGATAGTTAGGACAAACATACAAGATCTAAAGTAGTTGCTCGAAAAGTAAACCCTATTGTTCAATACACAATTCACATCTACGAATGATCGAACGTGGTATAGCATTATCCAAATAAGGCCTTATTTCATCACATGCATTCCTGATTATGTCTATTAGCATATCTCTTGTGGTTACGGGAGTCTGGTACACTTTTTCTTTTAGAAATCCCCACACAAAGAAATCTAATGGATTGAGGTCAGGGCATCATGGAGGCCAGGCGACTGGTCCTCCACGGCCGATCCATCTTTCTGGATAATTTTCGTCCAGCCATTTTCTAACTATTCTCGAATAATGAGCTGGACAACCATCAAGCTGGAACCAGGCCAATCTTCTTAAATCTAACATAACATCATCCCACATATTTGCATGTTCAGCCTTTAAAAATTCCAAGAAGGTCGCAGCATTTAACCTTGGAGGCAAAAGGTAGGGTCCAAATAGTCGATTACGGTAGATACCAATACACACGTTCACACTAAATTCA